GGTGTGTGATCCAGGTGTGTGTGATCCAGGTGTGTGTGATCCAGGTGTGTGTGATCCGTGTGTGATCCAGGTGTGTGCGCTCCAGGTGTGTGATCCGTGTGTGCGCTCCAGGTGTGTGTGATCCAGGTGTGTGCGATCCATGTGTGTGTGATCCAGGTGTGTGCGATCCAGGTGTGTGCGATCCAGGTGTGTGTGATCCAGGTGTGTGTGCTCCAGGTGTGTGTGATCCAGGTGTGTGATCCAGGTGTGTGATCCAGGTGTGTGATCCAGGTGTGTGATCCAGGTGTGTGTGATCCAGGTGTGTGATCCAGGTGTGTGCGCTCCAGGTGTGTGTGATCCAGGTGTGTGATCCAGGTGTGTGCGATCCAGGTGTGTGTGCTCCAGGTGTGTGCGATCCAGGTGTGTGTGCTCCAGGTGTGTGCGATCCAGGTGTGTGTGCTCCAGGTGTGTGTGCTCCAGGTGTGTGAGATCCAGGTGTGTGCGATCCAGGTGTGTGTGCTCCAGGTGTGTGTGATCCAGGTGTGTGATCCAGGTGTGTGCGCTCCAGGTGTGTGTGATCCAGGTGTGTGATCCAGGTGTGTGCGATCCAGGTGTGTGTGCTCCAGGTGTGTGCGATCCAGGTGTGTGTGCTCCAGGTGTGTGTGCTCCAGGTGTGTGCGATCCAGGTGTGTGTGCTCCAGGTGTGTGAGATCCAGGTGTGTGATCCAGGTGTGTGTGATCCAGGTGTGTGTGATCCAGGTGTGTGTCCAGGTGTGTGTGATCCAGGTGTGTGATCCAGGTGTGTGTGCTCCAGGTGTGTGATCCGTGTGTGTGATCCAGGTGTGTGTGATCCAGGTGTGTGTGATCCAGGTGTGTGATCCAGGTGTGTGTGCTCCAGGTGTGTGATCCGTGTGTGTGCGCTCCAGGTGTGTGTGATCCAGGTGTGTGCGATCCAGGTGTGTGCGATCCAGGTGTGTGCGATCCAGGTGTGTGCGATCCAGGTGTGTGCGATCCAGGTGTGTGTGCTCCAGGTGTGTGATCCAGGTGTGTGTGCTCCAGGTGTGTGTGATCCAGGTGTGTGTGATCCAGGTGTGTGTGATCCAGGTGTGTGTGATCCAGGTGTGTGCGATCCAGGTGTGTGTGATCCAGGTGTGTGCGATCCAGGTGTGTGTGCTCCAGGTGTGTGCGATCCAGGTGTGTGTGCTCCAGGTGTGTGCGTCCAGGTGTGTGTGCTCCAGGTGTGTGTGCTCCAGGTGTGTGTCTCCAGGTGTGTGTTCTCCAGGTGTGTGTGCTCCAGGTGTGTGCGAACCAGGTGTGTGTGATCCAGGTGTGTGCGATCCAGGTGTGTGCGATCCAGGTGTGTGCGATCCAGGTGTGTGAGATCCAGGTGTGTGCGCTCCAGGTGTGTGTGATCCAGGTGTGTGCGATCCAGGTGTGTGTGATCCAGGTGTGTGTGATCCAGGTGTGTGCGATCCAGGTGTGTGCGCTCCAGGTGTGTGTGATCCAGGTGTGTGCGATCCAGGTGTGTGTGATCCAGGTGTGTGCGATCCAGGTGTGTGCGATCCAGGTGTGTGAGATCCAGGTGTGTGTGATCTAGTGTTAATTTCGTCAGCTATTTTTTTATTTAGTTTTAGTCTTAGTCCTGTGTTAAATTTCCTTTTTAGTTTCAGTCATATTTAGTCACCTTCATCCTGTTTTTATTTAGTCAAGTTTTAGTCGACTAAAAGTCTGAGCATTTTAGTCTTATTTTAGTCAAAGAAAAAATAATTATTTTAGTCTACTTTTTGTCAATGAAAACTTTTTTAGTCATCAGATTATATAGAACATTTCAGTCAAAGTAGCCAAAACCAATCATTTGTCATTTTAGTATATATAAATAAATAAGATTATATCTTGTCCTTATTTGATGAAAAGCAGGTTGAATGATTAAGCAGCTTTGCAGAGAGTATCTGGTTTGTGGTGTTGTACCTGTGTTTTGGCCACATTGCTTCCCTTCTGATGAAACAATGCATTCGCTTTTTCTCTCCGCCTCATTGTAGCGAAAATGGGCCCAAATATCACATTGTTTCTTTCTCCCAAGCATTGGTGGCTTTAGACTTTTTCGCTGTCAGTCATTTTGACGGACAGGATCGTAACATTTCCGTCATAATCCATTATTACCCGTCGAGTGCACAATTTATCAATTACTCGCGCTGATGGGGGGGGTATTCGGTTAACGTGAGTGCGACCACTGCTCCCAAGCCCAGGTTGTTGCCTGTGACAACCCTGTGGTTGTCCACCAGGTGGTGCTGCTGTAACCTGTGTGTTTGTTGTAATCAGCAGTGATGGGACCCACCTGTGGCACCTGGTTCCAGTAGATAAGAGGGCTGCAGAACAGGCTCTCGCTCGCTCTCAGCTGCCCTGCTCGGTGCAGCAGGACACCACTCCTCTGTTCTGTTTTATTGTTGGTTGTAACCACTGTGTTGCATAAAATAAATGATTGTTTTGGGCAACTGTGTTGAGCTGTTGTCCTTATGTTACAAGCAGAGCCAGCTTGTAACATAAGGGGGCTCGTCCGATCCAAGAACCAGGTGATAGTTGTTTACTTGAATTGTTTGCCTTGATTGTTAGACAGGTTGTTCCTGGTGTGGGGCATTGAGGAGTAGCTTTGGAATTACATTTCCTGATAGGCATAAGCAACATGTCCTTCAGGGGAGCTTGTTGGTTTGTTATTTTTGTTTGTTATTTTTGTGCATAAACATGATTCGACATTTTATTGTCATGGGTACACGTCCGTGGCTGTCTTGGTGAGTAACAGCTTCGCTGGGGCTTTACCGGGTCATTGGGTAAGTGTTTAAAAAACCTGTCGTGGCATGCATGAAGACTAGGGTGAGACAAGATAGCTAGTATTGGGTAGGCAGTTAGCTAGGGGAGAGGTATTCCAGAGTGAAACAAAATATATATATATATATGTTTAGGTGTCTGTGCACCAGGTTCAAGGGAGTTTGCATAATCGTGGCTACATTGACAGATTTTGTGAAGTGTCCCAATGTGGAACTGCTGGAAAAATGTACTAAAGACCAACTGTTAAAAATTGCAGAGCATTTTGAAGTAGACGTTCCAAAGCAGGGTCGTAAAGACACCATAGTGACTATGTTACAGGCCCAGTTGATACTGCAAGAAGTTCTGCCAGCAGTGGCTGTCGATGATGGCTCCGAGGAGGAGTTGGCTGTGAAGGCAGATATAAATCCAGAGCGGCAGAGAAGTGCAGGTTTTTCTTTGTTTGACTTTGGTGAAATGACATTGGAACAGAGAAAGGAAATAATGCTGCTGCAGTACCAACAAGACAGTGAACGTCTCGCTCGTGAGGACCGGGCTAGAGCTCGTGACCAGGAAACTGAGATGGAGCGTTTGAGGTTAACTACAGTGGTGCGGGAAGCTGAATTGCAACAAGAGCGTTACAAGTTGGACCTCATCCAAGAGGGTAAGCTTTCTTCTGGGGTGTCCCCAGCTACTTTTGATGTAGCTTATAACTTGAGGTTGTTACCGAAATTCGAGGAGAAGACTGTAGATTCTTTTTTTGGACTTTTTGAGCGACTTAGCCAAAGACGACAGTGGTCTGATTCAGAGAAAACATTGCTGTTACAGTGTGTGTTAACTGGTAGGGCTCAAGAAGCATTTTCTGCATTAAGTACGGCTGACAGTGAAGATTACTTAAGGGTAATGACTGCAGTGCTAAAGGCTTATGAGTTGGTGCCTGAGGCCTACCGTCAGCAGTTCAGGAAGCTAAGGAAGTCAGAAGGACAGACCTATGTGGAACTTGTTCGGGAGCTGACGATGAAATTTAATCGGTGGGTCACGGCTTCCGAAGTAGTAAATCTTAATGATTTGAGGGAACTGTTCCTTCTTGAACAATTAAAAGATATCCTTCCAGAACGCGTTGCTACGTACCTGAATGAGCATAAGGTTAAAAATGTAACAGACGCCGGGGTGTTAGCTGATGAATACACGTTAACACACAAGATTCATTCAGGGGAGAGATTTGACTGGGGGAGCAGAAATAACTGGTCTGGTGACCCCAGAGGTAAAGTAGATCTAAGTACTTGCTACTTTTGTTTGGGTAAAGGACACCAGAAAAAGGAATGCCCAGTACTTGCAAAAACCAAGCGACTCCAAAATGTTCAGTTTCCCAGGCTGTTGCCCTTGCAGCTTTTCCCCACCAGGTTGCTAGGGATGAGGCTATAGCTGCGGTTAAACTCTATACTACCCCGCAACCAGTTGCTGCTACGGTTTCTAACTACGGACCAGCCCTGCAAGAGGTGAAGCCTCGCCCCTCCCAGTTGGCAGATGAAATTGATTCAGGGTATGCCCCTTTCATACGAGAGGGTTATGTGTCTTTGCAAGGAAGTGAAACAATATTCCTTGTTAAGATACTGAGAGACACAGGTGCTCTCGATTCATACATAAGTGAGGGTGTTCTTCCATTTTCCTCGGTAACGGACACTGGAAGTGGTGTATGGTTCAAGGGAATGGGGATGCAGTTGCTGTCTGCTCCAAAGCGTCGGTTGGTGTTGTCCTGTGATTTACGGCAGGGTGAGGTTGCCATGGGAGTCCGGCCATCTTTGCCTGTTCCGGGAGTGGCAGTCATCCTCGGAAATGATTTGGCTGGCGGCAGAGTGTGGCCTGATGTGCCTCTTTCACCAGTGGTGTCCTCTAAGCCAGTGAGGGGCGAGCTTGCTGACCCTGCGAAGAAGCTGACAAAGATAGTTCCAGCTTGTGCAGTAACACGAGCCCAGACCTATAAAGCACAAGATAAAAAAGTCATTTCTGAGAATATTGTTTTGGCGCTACCTGTTGTTCCATTGTCTGTCTCTCGTAGTGAATTGGCGAAGCAGCAGCAGCAGGAGGGTCCAACTTTGCAGGAGCTCTTGTCCCAGGTTCGCCCCGTTGAGGAAATCATCAGTGCAGCCCATGGGTATTTCTTACAAGAGGGGGTATTGGTAAGGAAATGGTCGCCTCATGGTGAGGTTTTTGTTGGGGAAGCAATATTTCAATTTGTCATACCAGACAAGCTGAGAGAAGGGGTATTGAAAACAGCGCATGATGATGTTGCGGGTCACTTGGGAGTGCAGAAGACATACAACAGAGTGCTGCGGTATTTCTACTGGCCCAGATTGAAGAAGACTGTTTCTGTCTTTATTAAGACTTGTCATACTTGTCAATTAACGGGTAAACCTAACCAAACTATTAAACCTGTGCCTCTGTCTCCTATTCCGGCAGTGTCCTCCCCTTTTGATCGTCTGCTGATTGACTGTGTTGGCCCATTGCCCAAGTCTAAGGCTGGAAGTTCATATCTGCTGACGGTGATGTGTCAGTCCACACGTTATCCTGCGGTTTATCCATTGAGGAACATTACAGCTAAGTCTGTGGTGAAAAAACTGAGTCAGTTTATTTCCATCTTTGGTATCCCGAAAGTTATTCAGAGTGACCAAGGTACTAACTTCACTTCACATGTATTTAAGCAGAGTATGACACAACTTATGACACAGCTCAGCAGATCAGGACTCCAGATCTGCTGACCTGCGGTTTCTACACGGACCACTATTGCGGTAAGCATGTTGTAACTTCCGGTTGTTGTCATCTCCGGGTATCCCGTGTGCCTGTTCTGCTGCTGATAGCTTATTATCTTAATCGATCGTTTTAAAACTCTTGATCACGGCAACTGCCTGACGTTGTAATCACACGTTACTACAGCTTAAGCACTCACAACTCTCCTTCTCTTAGCGACTGTAACTCCACAGTTGCCTACACTCTTTTCGGGTTTGCTAACGGTAGCTACTTTAGCTTGATAGCTAGCCATGGCTCTTTCTCCACCCTCGGGTGCTATTTCCTGCTCTAACTGTCTCATGTTTGGTTACTTCCCTGCCTCCTTTACTGGTACCGGTACATGTGTTAAATGTAGTATAGTTGTTAGGTTGGAGGCGGGAATCATAGCCATAGAAGCCCGGCTCCGCATCTTAGAAAGTAACTCAGCTACAGTAAAGCCCATGTTAGCCGTTGCGGACCGGCAAAAGGTAGCTCCTATTAGCCGTCCCCCGGCAACTCCCGAGCAGCAGGGAGACTGGGTGACTGTTCAGAAGGGGCATAACGCGAAACCCGCAGGTCCCCACCAACCCGTTCACGTATCTAACAGATATTCCCCACTCAGCGAGACACCCGCTGAGAAGCCAACTCTGGTTATTGGTAGCTCTATTATGAGACACGTGAAATTAGAGACCGAAGCCTCCACAGTCACATGCATTCCGGGGGCCAGAGCGGGCGACGTTGAGGCGCATCTTAAACTGCTGGCTAAGAATACACGTAAATACAGTAGGATTGTTATTCACGTCGGTGGTAATGATGTTTGTGTACGCCAATCAGAATGCACCAAACGTAATGTGGAGTCGGTGTGTAGTTATGCTAAAACAATGTCGGACACCGTAATCTTCTCTGGTCCCCTCCCCAATCTGATCAATGATGACATGTATAGCCGCTTGTCATCATTTCAGCGCTGGTTGTCTTGGTGGTGCCCAGCAAACAATGTGGGCTTCGTAAATAATTGGACAGCCTTCTGGGGAAAACCTGGTCTGATTAAGAGAGACGGCATTCATCCTACTTTGGAAGGTGCCGATCTCATTTCGGCAAACATTTCAGGGCTTTGTGGACTTAATCCATGACAAACTGGAGTTGAGACCAGGAGGCGGAGTCGCAGTCTTACACGCTTCTCTGCGCTCTCTCCTAGGCAGTCATCCATAGGAATCCCGAACCCAATAAAATACCCAATATTAGCGGTGTGTGTGTCTGCCCAAGGACAAGTTAAGGTAAAACCTAATAGAGGTGTCATACATAATAACCTAATAAAAGTAAATGTAACAACTACTACAGTGCAACAAAACAGGAATATTAAATGTGGTCTCTTAAACATAAGATCTCTAGCATCTAAAGCAATATTGGTAAATGATTTAATATCAGATTATAATATTGATATATGCTGTCTCACTGAAACTTGGTTGAGACATGAAGAATATGTCAGCATAAATGAGGCCACTCCACCCAGCCATATCAATACTCATATTGCCCGAGGCACGGGCCGAGGAGGTGGAGTTGCAGCCATCTTTGACTCAAGTTTACTTATCAATACTAAATCAAAATTAAATTATACCTCCTTTGAAAGTCTCGTTTTTAGTCTTACGCATCCGACCTGGAAAACTTTGCAGCCAATCTTATTTGTTACAGTGTACCGTGCACCTGGTCCTTATTCAGAATTCTTATCTGAATTCTCTGAGTTTTTATCAACTTTGGTTCTTAAAACAGATAAAGTAATTATCGTAGGTGACTTTAATATTCATGTTGACGATGATAAAAATAGCCTTACTGTTGCATTTAACTCTATATTAGATTCTGTTGGTTTCTGTCAGTGTAAATAAACCAACCCACTGCTATAATCACACTCTCGACCTTGTTCTGACTTATGGTATTGAAATCGAGCAACTATTAGTCGAACCGCATAATCCTGCTTTATCCGACCATTTCTTAGTAACTTTTGAAGTACTGTTACGAGACTACAAAGCATTAGTCAAAAGCTCCTGCAGCAGAAACCTATCTGTTAGTGCTATAGCCACATTTAAGGGAGAGATTCCACCAATACTTAACTCGATAGCATGTCTGCATGTAGGGGAGGAAACTTATACAAAATGTACACCACCCCAAATTGATCATGTTGTTGATAGTGCTACAGATGCGCTGCGAATAAAATTAGACTCTGTTGCTCCTTTGAAAAAGAAGAAAATAAAACAACATAGATTAGCTCCATGGCATAATGCCCAAACCCGCAAAATAAAGCAAAAGTCGAGACAACTTGAAAGGATATGGCGTTCCACTAAACTTGAAGAATCTCGTTTAATTTGGCATATTACTCTCAATGAATATAAGAAAGCACTGCGTAAAGCGAGAGCAGCTTACTACTCTTCATTAATAGATGAGAATAAGAATAATGCAACATTTCTTTTCAGCACTGTAGCCAGGCTGACAGAGAGCCACAGCTCGATTGAGCCTTCTATTCCCATAGCACTCAGTAGTAATGATTTTATGTGCTTTTTTAACGATAACATTGTTACTCTTAGAAACAAAATGAATGACCTCTTGCCTTTGACCAGTATAGTGTTATCAACAGCTCCCGGAAACGTAAGTTCTAATATTACACTAGATAGTAAACTAGAATGCTTTTCAGCCATAAACCTTGAACAATTAAATTCAATGATTCTCTCTTCTAAACCATCAACGTGTATGTTAGACCCAATTCCAACTAAGCTGTTGAAGGAAGTTTTTCCATTAATTAGCACTTCTTTATTAAATATGATGAATATGTCTTTATTATCAGGCTATGTTCCACAATCATTCAAAGTAGCAGTGATAAAACCGCTTCTTAAAAAGCACAACCTCGATCCAGAGGTTTTAGCCAATTATAGACCTATTTCTAATCTTCCGTTCCTCTCAATAATTCTTGAGAAAGCGGTCGCAAAACAGCTGATTACTTAAAAAACAATGATTTATTTGAAGATGTTCAGTCTGGCTTTAGAACACATCATAGCACAGAGACAGCTCTGGTTAAAGTCACATATGACATTCTAATAGCCTCTGACAAGGGACGTGTCTCTATTCTTGTTTTGCTCGATCTCAGTGCTGCATTTGATACTATCGACCATGATATCCTATTGCAAAGACTAGAGCACTTAGTTGGCATACAGGGAACTGCTTTAGACTGGTTTAGGTCCTATCTATCTGAACGCTCTCAGTTTGTACGTGTCAATGATGAATCTTCCACGCAAACCAAAGTTAGCCATGGAGTACCACAGGGCTCAGTGCTCGGACCTATTTTGTTCACATTATATATGCTTCTGTTAGGCAATATTATAAGGAATCATTCTGTAAACCAGAGTTCCCGTTAGAAAAAATGTGTGCCGGTCACCCTGTCCGTTAGGATATAAATCTTCCGGACAAATTGGAAATTTCCCGGTCAAAGGTCTTCTTTGTTATTTATTGAGCTTTAAAACAAATTGACAACAACTCTATATATTAAGGATGAAATAATCAAGGCATTCAGATATATCTTTTATTGAAAAGTTACTTTTAATAAAAGTTCAAACAAGTTCTGCCGATATCGTGCGTAACGGAAAATAAATAAATATAGCCTATATTACGCAAGCCATAATAAAATAAACAAAAAACCCATGTTCTTCAGCTTTAGGCCTACATATAGTCGGATAAAATAAAACATAACGATTATTATTTGTTCACAAACTAAAAGAGTATAGGCCTGTCGTGAGCATTTTAATAAAAGCTTGCAGCTGCCGACTTGTTATCAAATAGCCTTTAAACAAATTGTAACACAAACTCTTTGACAAAACTAGAGCAAAATGCCTAGCTTATGATGTTTTAGCCTACTTTCTGCGCTGTTTCAGGCCTGTGAAGTGGGTAGCTGCGGATTTAAAATCAAAGGTCCTGAGTGTCTCTCCACAACTGGCAATGCGCATGAGCCGTGTGACCTTGTTCTCGCCGAGCCGACTTCGCTGCGCTGTTTTGATTCTGTTCTGTAGAGAGAATCCTCTCTGCCGGCACACTGGAGACTGGGATCACGCATGCTATCTTGGCCAGTGTGGCCCACTCAGGATAGATGTTGCCTAAATCTCTTACGAGGACTTCGCAAGCCGTTAAGAAATGCAAGCCTCCGTATCTGCGGAGTGCTGTCATCACGGGGATGGCATCTCTGTGGGCGCTTGTGGCATCAATGAGAGGGGCACTGGCTTGCGCTGAGTCTTCCTCGCTGGCAATCCCTTGGCCAAAATGACCAATAATGGTTCTGAGGGCTGGTTCAGCGTATATTTGAAGAGCTGAAGGGACGGAGAAATAATGAATTGTTTTATGTAACGCAAATAAACACATTTAAATAACTTGTGACACCATTTTAGGAAGGCCTACTTACCACTTTGTGCATCTGGGTATCGGGATGGGTTCAGAAGGACGTCAAAGCAAGTGATAATACTCAGGGACTCTTCAGGAAAGCGGTTGTGTAAAGCATCTATAAGATGTGTAATGTAGCGTACGCGGACATTACTGAAAGCCTGCCGGGACCGGTCATCTGCGTGTGTCACATTCACATCCCTGTACATGCCATTTTGGCAATCTGCCTGAAATCTCTCTTCTTCGGGACCGGGGGAATCCCTCAACTGTGTGAGTGCCGCAACTGATGCGTGAACCATTGGTCGGATTGTGGCCAGATTGACATCCTCTTTCTGGAAAACCAAATTCAGTTTGGTCATAACAGGTAGCACATCAGCCAGTGCGTGAGTCCAGGTGATAAAGCAGTATGGCTGGATTTGACCAAGGATGCCTTTTGCTTGGGCATTTCCTCCAACAGCCTCTTCATGTAGCTCCTTCACCAGAGCAGGCCAGTTTAGCTTGATACCCTCCACTGCCCTGTGCAAGGATAACCAGCGGACAGCGCACTGCTGCTTTAGGCTTTTCACATCTTCATCCCCGAGCGTTGCTGTCATTTGACGAAGGCGATTGG